GGGGATCTGAGTGCAGTGCCAGCACCCCCTGCTCCTGCCTGCCCGCCCCACCTGAGTGCTCTACTCACCATCATGCTTGTGGGCAGCCCCAGGCTCCTGGGGGGCTGGGACTCCTGGACTGGGCTCATGAGCTGGGTTCTGGGAAGAGGTCAGGAGTTTGCTGTGCTTGCTGTTGTAGTCACTGCCAGCCTTAACAGCATCTCCTGCAGCGCCAGCAGCTTCACCTACAGGGAGGGGGCTCAGCTGTCACACCGCTGCCGGCGCCCACCCTCACGACCACCCCCACCCCTGCAGAGATGTTGCACACCCTACCTTCATCTCCTCCCTGTGCTGGACCAGCCTGATGATGTCCTCCTCCCATTGCTGCATCCTCGGCACTGCCCCCTGCCTCTGTTAGAAGCTGATGAACATTCCTGCGGGAGGACAGGGCTCAGATGCTGGGGCTCCTCCGAAGACCCTGCAGCTCCCCCTGCCGTGCCCTGGCCTCCCACTCACTGATGGCATCTCTCTCCCCAGTATTCGATGAATGGAAGTTCCGGTTTCTCCACCAGCTCACTCAGGTCCGCCATCTCCTCCCGGTGGTCCATACAGCCGCTCTGGAGCCAAAATAATGGGGTCACATCTCGGCAGCGACCTGCCCTCAGGTGGCATTTTCAAGTAAGTCATGGAGAAGCTGGAGGCGAGTCCTGGCATGGGCCAACTTCTCCATGACTTCCTGCAGGGCCCGGTGGGTCCCCCCACTCACAGACTCGCCCCCAGTCCCTGGGGCTGGGACCGCTGCCTCTGGCTCCTTCTGGGCCGAGGCCACCAGGTGAGCCAGGTGCTGGCAGCACACCCTCTGCTCTGTCACCCGCTCTCGTAACCGTGCCTGCTCCTCCTGGGCACTGGCTCCAGCGGATTTGAAAAATGCCACCTGAGGGCAAGACGTGAGCATTCTTGTAGGGGCATACACAGAACAAATGGGGCAGAGGGGTGAAGCGCAGCCCCTTTCCTTGGGGCCTCAGTTCGTCACAGGTGCAATGGGGTCTGACCACTGGCTCTCGGAAGGGGTGAGGGTGCAGAGAAATCAGAAGGCAGGGAAAGTAAGAGCATAAAGGGGTTTTGGAGGGACCACAGAGGAAGGTGGCAAAATCGGTGCGGAGGGAGTCAGGCTCACCATGGCCTCCCAGCTCTCCAGGTCCTCTGGGAGGCTCGGCATGGGCCGAGGTGCCTCCTCCTCCGCACTGCCCAGATGTTCTCCTCCATCTCCTGTGGGGGGTGGCCAGAGGTGTCCTCAGACAACCCAACAATGGAGGTACTGTGGGCCCAACTCTGCCTCCACCCTCACTATGTAACCCTGAGCCAGCCCCTCCCCAGAGAGGAATAAGCTACTGTTCTTTATTTTTCCTTTTAAGAACCAAGATCTTGCTATACCGCCCGGGCACAGTCCCACTACTGGTCGGTGCAGGAGTTCTGACCTGCTCTGTTTCTGACCTGGGCCAGTTCAGCCATCCTTAGGCAACTTGGTGGCCCCCCACTCCCAGAGGTCACCATATTGATGCCGAACTTAGTGCAGGCACCCGGTCGGCATAATGACCAGCTGTTCTAAAGGTCTCTTCTAACTCCTCAATCCTGTGCTGCTAACAGTCCCCCCTTCCTCCTGGGGCTCTCTCCTCTTCCTCTGAGCAGTCTCCGGTACCTTCACCAGGGAGAGCCGTGAGACTCAGTTGGTCCTGCAGCTGCTGATTCTGGTGGCTGGAAGCCTCCAGGTGCTCCTAAGGGGCCAGGAAAGAGTGAGAAGGCAAGGAGTTTGCCAGGTCAGCCCCCTCACAGCCCCGTCTTCAGCAGCTCCCTCCCCTGGGTCTCCTGTAACTTTTGGCGGGCCATCTCGGCCACCGCTTTGCCCCAAGCTTCCTGCTGCTGCAGCTGGTTCATTAGTTGGGTCTGCTGCAGTAACTGCCTGTGCAGCGCCTCCTTCTCAGAGGTCGGCTGCTGATAGGCGGCCACCTGCTGCTGATAGGTGGCCACGGACTGCTGCAGGTGACCCAGGTAATGGTCTGGCTGCTGCTGCAGACTCTGAGCCTCTTGGCTCTTCAGCTCCACCTTCAGGAAGACCCTGGGTGTGAGGGCACGTGGCGACTGGCTTCCAGATTCTGGGCCCATTAATAGGGTAGCGAGGGCACTGTGGGGCTCTGTCGTCTGCCCAGGCCCCTGGCCCCTCACTCCAGGCCTAAGTGACTGTCTCCCTTTCCTAGAACCCCATGCTTCCTTCCTCAGCCTCAAATCTCATACCCTCCTTCACCATTTAAACTGTAGGCCACAGACTGGTGGAAAAGCAGTGGGAACCAACCACTATGTGCTAAGTGTGCTACAGGCCTAATGCTTTCCATGTATTATCTCATTTAATCCTCAGCACCTCTGTAAGGAAAATGCTACCTTCCTTTCGAAGTTAAAGAAACAGAGGCGGCTGGGCGCGGTGGCTCATGCCTGTAATCCCAGAACTTTGGGAGGCCGAGGTGAGCACATCATGAGGTCAGGAGATCAAGACCATCCTGGCTAACACAGTGAAACCCAGTCTCTACTAAAAAATACAAAAATGAGCCCGGCGCCATGGGCGGCAAGCCTGTAGTTCCAGCTACTCCGCGAGGACTGAGGCAGGAGAATGGCGTGAACCACGGAGCGGAGCCTGCAGAGGAGCCAGGAATCCCCGGCCAACTGCCACTCCAGCTCTGGGCGGCAGAGCGAGACTCCGTCTCCAAAAAAAAAAAAAGAAAAAAAAAACAGAGCCCAGCTGGACGCGGTGCTCATGCCGTAATCCCAGAACTTTGGGGAGGCCAGAGGCGGGCTGATCATCGAGGTCCACGGAAGAATCAAGAACCAATCCTGGCCTAACCACAGTGAAACCAGTCTCTACTAAAAAAATACAAAAAACTTAGCCGGGCATGGTGGCAGGCGCCCTGTAGTCCCAGTTACTCGGGAGCTGAGGCAGGAGAGATGGTGCTGAAGCCGGGAGGCGGAACTTTGGCAGTGAGCTGGCGATTGCACCACTGCATCCCAGCCTGGCCACACAGAGTCAGAATCCATCTCAAAAGAACAGAGAACTTAGAGATGCAAAGTACTTGAACGGTGACCAGTGGGAACCGGAGGTTGGAATCCAGTTTTCAATCTAAGGAAGGCATTTTTTGTTCTTGTTTGAGCCCAGAGGGGTCACCTCTGCGTGGCCCAGACTGCAGTGCAATGGTGGCAAATCTCAGCTCATTGCAACCTCCGTCTCCTGGGCTCAGGCGATTCTCATGCCTCAGCCTCCTGAGTAGGTGGGATTAACAGGGCATGCTCCACCATGTCCAGCTAATTTTTTTTTTTTTTTGTAATTTTAGTAGAGATGAGGGTTTTCCCATGTTGGCCAGCGCCTGATCTCCAACTCCCCGACCGCAAGGATTCTCCCTGCCTCAGCCTCCCAAAGTGCCTTGGGATTATAGCCTGAGCCACCATGCCTGGCATAAGGAGCCTCTTATCCCAACTGTCTGTTCCCCTATGATTGGGGGGCTCTCATGCCCTCCTAGTCTGGGATGATGATGTCCAGACCTGGGAGGAGCCCAGGGCTACCCACCTGTAAAAGTCAGAAGGCAGGAAGGAAGAAATGGTCATAAGACTGCCCTGGAGGGTGCTGGGGTCACCTGCCCCCAGGCTGCAGCTGCCTCTGGCCTGGCACCTCCCCTCCCCAGAGGCTGGTGCCTGCTTCCCAGCCCTTCTTGGATGCGGTGGGGGTTACAATCTACTTCACCTCGCCCAGCGTCTCCTGTAGCTCCTCCACTTGCTGCTCCGACTGCAGTGCGCTCTTGTTCTCGTTGTTCTGGACAGAGAGAAGCAATCAGCAGCCACCCACTGCAGCTGGAGACCCCAGAACTCGGTGTCTGCCTCCCATGGCACCGGGAAGGGTTCTCTCCCACAGCCACCAGAGCAGGGCTCTGGCTCACAGGTGCCTTGAGAAGTAACATTTCACGAGAGGGCTACACTGCCCCCTTTTACAGGTGGGGAAACAAAGGCCTGGAGGGCCAGGGAGGAGGGCAGGCCCCGCAGGTGGGGCAACGCACCAGCTCCTCGACGCCGCTCTGTGCCTCGGGCAGCTGCTGAAGCCTCTCCTCCTGCCTCCCAAGCCTCTCCTTTTGTGCCTGGTTCAGGAGACTTACGTGTTGATGGTTTTCCACGTGGGCCTGGAGCTCTGCTGACACCCTCTCTAGTTCCTTCCTCAGGTGCTGCAGCTCCTCCTCAGGGGGCACTGCTGGGGGCTCCGGGGGCAGGGGTTCAGCTGAGAAAGGAAGCAGACAATAAGGGCCTCTGGATTCTCAAAAACAAAAACAAAACAAAACAAACAACCACAACAACAAAAAACACCCTCCTCTTGGTGCACAGCTCCTCTCAGGCTCCCCAGACTTGGCCTCACTGCTAATGATTCCTCGCACCCGGATGGTAGCCAATCTTCCAACCACTTTCAGATGGAGAGCACTGTGGGTGACTGACAACGGGCCCTCTGTGCTGATGGGGACACTCAGGCTCATGGAGATAACAAGACTTGCTGTCTCCCGGCACAGACCTCTTTCCCTCTGCCTCAAAGCCCTTCCATCCACCCACCTCCCTGGGGCATTCTAAGCCACCCCCAGAGCCCTCTCTGATGCCAGGCCTGCTCCCAGGTCACACCAGCCCCATCTTACCCATCTGGTGTTTGAGTTTCGATAAACTCCTCTCCAGCTTCTCCACCAGACGCATGTTATCCTTCTTCTCCTTCTTCAGTGTGCAGACCTGCCCAAAGCACAGGGATAAAGGGCCCTGGAGAGAGGGGCTGGTGGCTGGTGGCTGCCATCTCCCTATCTGCCCCCACCTCCACAAAGCCCCGACCCATGACCACCTCTGGCTGTATATTCCCGTGTTACAGATGTCCAGAAAGATCCAGTGACCTATCTAAGGTGGCGGGGCTGAAGGGTCAGATCTCACCTCCTGGGACATTTTTCTCATCCTCTGCTGCCACCGGGCCCTCTCTCCTTTTAGATGTTGAACGTACTCATCCCTGTCTAGATGGGCTTGTTTTAGCGAGTCCTTTATCTGCAAGAGTGGGCACAGAAGTTAGGAAGGGCTGTCACTGGTCCTCACCTGCTCCTGGCCACCTGGCGTCATCTTCCTTCCCTCCCTCCCTCTTCAAAACCTCACCTGTGTCAGCTGTGCTTTCAGCAGTGCCTGCTCCCGTAAAGACTGCTCTAACTGCCGCTCCATACATGCTTTACTGCGGCTCGAGGACTGGATGGTGAAGAGTGAGAAGTTTCAATCTGGGGAACCTGGGCCATTCCCTACAGTGCCCCTTAAACAGGCTAGGTCTAGGCTCAATATACAACTCAGTCAGTAAAGATCGAGGCATTTCCAAGTCTGTGGTCTGGTTTTTAAAAGAACTCAGTAAAGTTGGAAGGGACAGGGAAAGAGATCGAATTTACAGCTGCCTAACAGAGGCCCAGAGAGATCAGTTAATATTGCTCTTGTTATTACTGTTATTACTAGCACTGTCTGAACCTTTACGGAGTGCTTCACCAGGTACCACGCTAGCAATCCCATTTAATCCTCACAGCCAACATAGGAGACAGTTACTATGACGACCTCTATTGTGTAGATGAAAAATCATGAAGTATTTGAGGTTAAGCGCTTGCCTAACATCACTTAGGCAGAGCTGGGATTTGAATAGCTAGATCTATCTGATTCTCTAAGCCCATTTTTCTTGCTGGGGGACACAGATAGGAAGGGGAAAGTGAATCTCTTGTTCACTGTTTGAAAGGATGATACATTCGCATAGTTCAAAACTCAGAAGGTACAGAAGGGAAGTATCTCCCAGCCACCTGTGGCTCTCTCCTGAGGTTTTTATGAACCTTGCAGACATATTTTCTGTATATTATCATTGTATGTACACACACACACACACACACACACACACACACACATACAGGTTTCCTCTCTCTACAGAAATGGTAACATACTAAAGGTACTCTTCTGTACCTTCACAGTATAAGTACCCAATACCCCACCTAGGACTTGGCCAAGACCACAGCCAGGTAAGGGCAGGGCAGGCACTTGGCCTCCAAGCTCTGTGTCCAGTGCTTACTCCCCACTGCACCCCCCAACTCACCCACAGCAGCTGACTCAGCCCCAGGCTGCCTCTAACAACCAGACACAAAAGCAGCGAGGAATGGCCATGCCGCCTTCTGGGCAGGACACTCCATCCTGCAGAAGGGACCTTTAGGCTCACTCCT